GGTACCAAGAGAACTATGAAAGCCACAGCTTTAAGGCATACAGGCCATCCCTCTGTGGCAGTGTCTAGTTCATGACTCAGATACCCTACGGGCTGTTGAGCCAGTCCTTCAGCCTACTTAAGTGCTCCCAAAGCCATGTCCCAGCTCTCATCAGCATGTAAACTGAAACAGTCTCCTGTGAGAAGGCTCCATGCCAGGGAATTCAGTACCACTTTTTAAAGCTTCTGGAATGCAGTTGAGAAATCAGGTTCCCAGGTTAAAATATAGGTATCTGTGTTTTGGGCTTCTTCATAAGCTGATAGAGGGATCGTGAAATCTCATCATACCCTGCCATCCAAAAGTGACAAAGCCTCTAATTCCTAGGAATTAAAGGAATCCCCTTAGCTGTTTTAGGGTCTTGGGCTGCAGGAAGGAAAGTATTGGTATAATTCTCTCTTTTCCCAGGTTTCAGGTTCCCTTAGATAATAAAGGGCCAAGTGTTTACCTCAAGCTGCAAAGTTATGCCTTAGACCTAGAGACTTTATAACTCCTGTGTGCTAGAAAAATTAGCAGAGCACAGGTGCCTTGGCTAAAGAGCTCTTCTGAGGAAGCACATAACAGCACATCATCTACATATTGTAGGACTGGGACTTGGGAAACTTAACACAAGCTAAGTCATGGGAAAACATTTGTCCAAAACGATGAGGACTGTCTCTGAACCCTGGAGGAAGCACAGTCCAAGTCCGCTGAGAGGCCTAGTCATTGGGATTTTTTAAAGTCAAAAAGAAACTGGGAATCTGTATGTAAAGGAATATAAAAGAAGGCATCTTTTAAATCTAACACTAAAAACCAACCAGTCTCTTCCGGGATCTGAGAAAGGAGAGTGTGTGGGATAGGTACCACTGGGCGAATCGGCACTACTGCCTCATTTACCAATCTAAGGTCCTGTACCAACCTCCACGCTCGCTGGGTTTGTAAACTTTCAAGACTGGAGTGTTGCAAGAGCTGTTACACACCTTAAGTAAGCCTTGTCCCTTTAAGTTGTTGATTACAGGCAAGGGGACGCTTTTAACTTCGGGCTTTAGAGGGTATTATCTCTAGTGAGGAAAGACAGTAGGATCTTTGACATATTTTTGCACTGGGAAAGCTCTTACTGCCCTTTCGATTCTACCTTTAGTTGCCCATACTTTAGGACTTATTTATCTCCACAAGGGGGAGGCAACAAGCCACGTAACAACTGGACTTCCAGGCATAATTAAAAGGGAAAGGGAGAAGAGGAAGCCATTCCAGCTACAGCCTAAGGGTTGTGTTTCTCTCAAGTGGCTCCTTTCACCGAAATACAATGGCTAGACGAAAGCCCAGGGATAAAAAGAAAGAGGCATGTGCCAGTGCCCAGCCATAGCCTGATTCCTTTTTCCTCTATGGTCATGATCACCCAGGGCTCCTCTGTGGAGATGACAGTCCTGCCAGAGGGAGAAGGCAGGCTGGAGTAGCCCTTCAGTCTTGTTGGGCCAGCTGGTACGATGGGTCTGATTCCTCGGACCTCCATCTCAGGGGACAGTTTGACTTCCAGTGGTCAGCTGTGTAATCAGGGCATCGTCCAGGGGGCCTCTGTCGTGACAGCTTTTATCACAGTCCCCCCTAAAGTGGTCTGGCTTTGTGCACTAGTAGCAATAAGTTTAGCTGTCCAGCTTGCCTTGAAGCCCTGGAATCAGACTTAGAGTTTATTTCTTTTAAGGCCACAACCAAGGAACCCCTTTTTCTTGGTCTCTGTTTTTTCCCCTTGGTATTCTCTGGTCTCAATTATAAAATACTGAGGAGGCAATTCTCACTCAAGTATCAAGTGAGCTCTCTGGAGCAAAAGTCATCCTTTGTAGCTTTTTCCTAATGTCTGAGGCTGACTGAGTAATAAGTTGTCTTTAAGAAAAATCCATCCAATTGATCTATCTATCAATCTTATCTATCTACCTCCCGTAGCCAAGGGGGTATGTTTCATCAATGCCTCTTGTAAATGATCTGAGTAAAAAGGCAGAAGTGTTCTAATATTTTTCCTGATCAATAATTGACAATTTAAAATAACTGAAAGAGTTAAGTTTTTGTACTTATAGACCTTCCAGAATACGTGCTGAAAGCCTCCTATTCCAGTCTTCTGTTTGACTGGTGGACCAGTAGGGAGCTTGTGTAGGGCCTGCTTGGGCTCCCATAGAAACTGACTGTTCCCTGGCTGCCTGTCTCCCGGAAAGGTGAGAGTGGGACGATTCAGGAGCTAAGATCGCCTCCTCACCAGCAGAAGCTCAGACCCGAAAGAAAACTGGCAGAACAGGCTCGAGGGCAGAGGAAGGAACAGACCAGACAGTCCCAGTGAAACCTGTCCTCAAGTCTTAAGAATGGCTGCTGGCCTACTGCAGTTTACTGGCAGATGGAGTCCCGTAACTTATTAACGGGCATATAGGTTTCCTGAATATACACTAGATATCATACAAATACCCATTTTACAGCATTATAGTTCATATTTTGGTTAGTATGAACAGGGACGCTCTATCATTAGTTTCCCTAGTGCTGTTGTCTAACAAGTCAAAAAGGTCAAGCAAGGAGCACCAATAAATTCAGCAACTACTGAGTCCAAATGCAGCATGTACAAAACAGGAATACAAGAGCTTGCCTGCAAAGGTAATGGCCCCGGGCTGGGGATTTAGCTCAGAAGCACAAGCAGCTGCCTGGCAAGCGCAAAGTCCCGAGTTTGATTCCCGATACCAAAAAAAAAAAAACAAGTCTATAAAAAAAAGTAATGGCCCATGTGACATGAATGCTTCTTTAGTATCACAATCTTCCCACGTTCTCAACTTAAATGTATGATCATTTCAACTAAAAACAATGTATATAAAGGGACAGCAATGTAGCTCAGCAGCACAGTGGCACGTGCCATGGCTTGGCAAGCATGAGGCCCTGAGTTCAATTCCTGGTACATTAAAAAAAAAATAGCAATGGATATTATAAGTTTAAAAAAAAAAGTATAGAAAGACAGAGCATAAAAATCCAAGGCATAAGCAGCTGACTAACAAGGATGCCAATTTTTGCTTACCTAAATGAGTCACAAAACAGAATCCACAAAATGAAAGCAAACTCTTACCTCCTTCCAATTAGCCCAGGGGACTTCCAAATGATATAGGGGAAATAAATGTAACTGCCAGCCTGCGAGACACCAGATATGCCAAGTTTATATTCCCCAAAACTGAACAGAGACAGAGAGAAAGAGCAAGAACACCTGACAGACTGGAGGGGACCCAGAAAATGGGTTGGCATGGGCACCACTTTGTAGAAGAAGTTTCATAGAGTAAAATCACAGGGTGGGTGCAAAGTCACGAGGTGAGAGCAAGATCA